GCGCTCAGGAGGCAGGTAGGGCCCCCCACCCCGGATACCGAGGCCTCCGACCCTTCCACCCGGGCGGCACGGAACCCCTGCGGCCGCCACTGGCCGACCGGGTGCCACTCGCCCCGCGGTCCGATTGTTCCCTCCACCCGACGTGCCCGTTCCACGCGTTCCCTCGGCTCCCGGAGCCCGCCAGGTTCCCCTGGCCTCCGTGCGGTCAGAGCAGGTTTGAGGTCCTGAGTTAGAGCTTGGTGGTGAGAATGGTAACGCCGTTTCTACCACAGGGTTAGATTTGCATTCCGAAGGAAAAAATTACATGGAGCAGAGGAAAATAAGTTTATTAAATGAAGTGCGAAGTAAAGGAAGAGTGGCACAACTTCTCTGTGAATGCTTATGGCAAAAGAGGGAAGTTTAAGGGAACCCTCATCGTGGTGTACAGCTTCCTTGTGAGGGACGGCAGACGGGCAGCACTGATCTCCTCTCTGGCAGAACCCGAGGGAACAGCCTGGAGTTATGTCAGGAACGTTTTAGATTGGATATTAGAAACAGGTTCTTCACACCGGGGATGCTTGGGCAATGGAGGAGGTTCTGCAGAGAAGTGGTCACAGCACCAAGCCTGACAGAGCTCATGGAACATTTGGAAAATGCTCTCAGGCACATGGTGTGATGCTTGGGGATGTCCTGTGCAGGGCCAAGGGTTGACCTAATGATCCTGGTGGGTTCCCTCTAGCTCAGAATATTCTGTGATTTATAAATGCCACAGTCATCACTACAGAGCAGTGATCATTGCTTGAAATCCAACTTTACTGGGTGGACATTTAGGAGTAACCTTGATTAAGTTTCTCTGCTTCTTAGTGAGTAGAAATTATGTGTTTCTTTATGGCAACCATTGAAATACAAAATTGTCTCCTGCCAAACAAAATCACTTGAAACACCTTGGATGCTATTATGTTTTGTTTGAATTATGGAATGCAGAATAGACTGACTTTTTTGAGATGGCAGACCACTAAAATGCAGTATTGTGTTTTTAACATGCAGTTTTTCTTTCAGGTAGAAGAACTCACTAAAGAAATCCATAATAGAAAGGAGAAAGATACGACTAGCGTAGAAGTACAGACAGAAGACTGTGCTGCGTGGTCACAAGCAGGTAGAAAGGGTGGTGACTGTTTAAATGGGGATACAGAACAATATCTTAGCTTGAAAATGTTATAATATAGAGTACATTTCAAGTCTGTAACCTTTGCTGAATTAAATTCAGTAATGTGACAGTTATCTTTCAGACCACTTCCTATTTATTGCAGGCATTAATTCAGGATAAAATGTAGCATGGACTAGCAGATTCATGCCATTGTAATTTGTTACGTAGAAATCTCATGTTGCAAGCAAGTATATTAAAACAAGACATTGTTTGTTCAGTAGGATTAAAATAAATTCAAAGTAGAGGCACTACCTAATACTTGATTTTTCATTAGATTACTTACTTGCATAAATTTCCAGTTTAAGATTTGGCACCCTTAAACTGCGTTAGTAAAATACTGCCTTGCTAATTTATGCAACTTCAACTTTTCTTTCTCTTCCCCCTCTTCCCCACAGACTATTACTACTATGAAAATTATTACAATCACACTGATACTCAAGATTGTGCCTCCGAACTACCAGTGCAGCTCAGTCATGGGACTGAAGGCACTGAGCATAATTCCACAGAAGAATCAGAGACAGCTGTTAATATTCCATTAAGCTCAAAAGCTATTGAAGATGGAAAAGAGGAGAATTTCGTCCAGAATTCACAGGTTTTTGGGCTGTCTGGAGTTTTACCAGTTTTGAAATCAGTACTCTGTTAATACACTAAAAGATGTGCTTGAGGTCCCAATGGCTTTATACAAAACATACAAAATATACAAAATTATTTTTTGTGATGGGCTAGTGCTGATAATATCCTTGTACTTCAAAAGTAGTTCTTTTTGTAGTATGTTCCACGTGGAGCATCCTCTTAGATTTGTGTCTTGGAGTTTGAGAGTTTTTGTAAAAAGGCATATGTATACTACATAGCCTAGAAGCAGGATATTTTTTATCAGCAGAATATGTCCAATATGTCCATGCTGATTTTCTTAAATAGTACTTTTTATTTTTTTATCCATTGACATAAGGAAACAAGATATAAGGAGAAGAACACTGGTGGTGAGGCTTATTATTTTGTGGTGGGTTGGTTTTCTTCCCTGCTCTCCAGCCTTCTCTTAGGTCACTCACTTAACTGAGTTTGTGCCTTAGCATCTGACAACTGAAATGGAACAAAGGGCAGAAATCTGTCTTAGGAATGCTCTGAAAGATGTTTCCTGTGTGTATTTTTGATGTGAGTCACTTTTGAGTAAACCTGGGGAAAGATGAAAGACACAGGCTGAAGTCTTGGTCCTGTTGAAATCATTAGTTTACCAGTAAACTACAGCCAGATTTTTTCCTTCTGAAAAAGTCCAATTTCATAGAGCACTTCTCTTTCTTTCTGTTACCAGGAGACAGAAGAAACTTTAGTACCAGAAGGTTCTTTGGCAGAGAGCCTGAGAGCTGCTGCAGAGGCTGCTGTTTCACAAACTGGATTTATTTATGATGAAAATACGGGATTGTATTATGATCATAGCACTGGATTCTACTACAATTCAGTAAGGATAATTTCCAAAATCCTTGGAATTTTTTGTCTATTGCTAAAGTTTTGTTAGTAAAAGTTGATATGAGCAAAGAGCTAAGATCCAGGCTGAACTTAAATTTTAAAAAACAGGTTACTGAAGATGAATAGTGTTAAAAGTTTGTTAATCAGTTTTTATATTATTTCAGTCAAAGATAGCAGGCTAAGATACGAATTTAGATTTTAATTCAGTTCTTTTTGGTGTCTCCTAGATCTCTAAGTTACTTGGCATTGTACAAATTTTATGCTATAAAGCTCATCTGTAACTCTTTCAAACCTAAAAGCTTGAGCTTAAAAATGTCTTGTTTAGAAAAGGACGTCTTCCTGAAGTAAGTCAGTTGCTTCTGCCCAGTGAAAAGACTGTTGAGAGAAAATACACAAAATGTTTGTGCTGTTACCTGAATAGTAACAGTACAATAGTAATACTGTGTAAAAAATAGTAACCTGTCCTGTAGATTCATTCTACAGGAAATAAAACACTTCTTTTAGAAGTGTTAGAAGGAGATAAGATGAGGGATCAGAATTTCTTAATTGTTACTTTTTGCTATACATTTTCATATAGCTTTTGCAAAAGTTTTCTTTTTGTTGTATGAGGTGTGTTTGTATATGTGTACAACTCTGTGGAGAGGTAAGTATACACAGTACTGCACTGAGAGCAGAGAGTTTTTTTGCAGTGTTATGTTCAACTCAACTGTAAAAAATGCATGAGGTACACAACTGTTTTCAGGATGCTTCTGGACCTAACTTTTAGGGTCTTAAAGGATACCATTGATTTTGACATAGTTTGTGGATTTAGTTATACATAAATGTTTGGGGTTACAGATTACAGTTTATGGCAGAATTATCCAAAATACCTTTCCTTGGTACATAAGTCTTCTGAATTACAGGAAATGTCCTTGCGTGAAGCTGTGAATCCATATGTTCCATGCTGAAGCTACTCATAGTACAGTCCATGGATGATCCCACACAGAAGCAGCTCCTTATCGTGCCTTTTTTGTCTACCTAAAAACAGAGACCAGACAAAATGAAGGGAACAAAAAGTGGTTATATTTATTCAAAGGTCTTTAGGTACATTTAGGGCAGACAAAGCCCCCCAGGGGCTAAACCCAAAAAATGCACTACAGGTCATGGGTTTTTATACTTTTATAAGTTTGTTCAATTTGCGTATTGGGGGTTAATCTTCCAATTACAGCATCAGGTAATGAAGTCATTTACCCCAAGTTTGCTCCCCCACAACTCACTTTTGTGTACATTTCTCAGGGCCTGAGACAATCAAGTTTCCTTGATTCCCAGGCCTAGAGAGGAATTGTTTTGTCTGACCAGAATGGGAAAGCAGTAGCTAACACTCTACGGGGAGCTACTCCTCATTTCCCTGCACCACTTGGGTGGGGGAAGACAGGGAGAGGAGCTGCAGATGAAGTGGTACAGTTGAACAGTGAAAAAAGAGAGACTGGGAGAGATGTTTTTTATTTGATCCTTATTGTCCAGCTGTATTTTAGCTATTTCCAAGTCGAATCTCGCTTGCCCTCCGTGAGCTTTTCATCTTACTTTGTTTCCCAGCCTTGTGGAGGAGGAGAATTGACAGTGGTTGGATGAGCATCTGGTAGCCATCGAGGATCAAGCCACCACAGTTATTTCACGTTATCAAAATTCAAGTGTGGTTCTTTATTAATCAGATGATTCTTTGAACAATATATTTATTGAAATAATGATAACATTGTTCTTCATTTCTTAAAAAGGAAAACCAACTGTATTATGACCCAGCAACTGGAATTTATTACTACTGTGATGTGGAAAGCGGCCGATACCAGTTTCATTCACGAGTGGATCTGCAGTCTTACCAGGCCTCTGGTAGTAAGCACACCAAAGATAAAAAGGGGAAGAAGAAGAGAAAAGAACCAGAGTGGATTGGTGCAGATGAGTATAAGGTAACTTCAGAACTGACAGAGAGAAAATGCAAAATCTGTTGTGTTTTTGTCCATGATGCAACAGGCTGTGGGGCTTGGTTTTATGCGGAGAATGTATGCTTATTTTTTGAACAATTTAAACATATTTAAACTATATACAGCAGGTTGCTAGTGTGTAGTTAGTGTTCAAATAACAATAACTAATTGTTCAAATTGAGTGATTAAGGATGAAACTTTTAACTTGGATCCCATTGCTTTTTCAGTATTTTTTTTATTGCTACCCAACTGTAAAAGAGTCTAAAACTGATTGTCAGTGAAGTTTTTTGAATAGCAGGCACAAAAGAATGAATTCAGTGTTGTGTGGGCTGGATTTACATCAGAAATTCAGTGTTAGTGGTAGTGTATTAGGCTGGTGATTTTGGCTTGTGATCTGGTGTTGGTTTTTTTGGTTGGGGTTTTTTTTCAGATTCACATTATGAATCAAAAAAATATAAATTTTGAAAATACACTCATACACAATCCTTTCTCTGTGAGTACATTCCAGAGCTTAGTCCACTGGCATTTTACTCTTTTTTAGTCTCTGCTGTCATCTGGGATTGGTGTTTTTGAAGCTGTATTTCTTCACATATTATGCTCTCCTACTGATACTTGGTCACTGTATTTTCACTGTCAGAGTGGTAGGAAAGCATACCATACGGTGTGCTGCCTTTAAAAACATCACTCACTCCTAAACACCAAGAAGTACTAACGCAGCTGTTAAACCTCAGGAAGTGTTTCCATTATGAGCACTTACTGATGTTGAGTTCTATTCTGTCAATTTGTTCTGTTATTTTAAGATAAAATTTAATATATTGTTTTCTCTAGTTTGAGTTCTTGGTTTACATTCCTCAAAGCTATTGCTTTAACTGTTACATAGTTTCATTATTCAGGCCTCAGACATGCAGTTTGATTGAAATCTGAAATAATTATGTAACTGTCCAGGTACCTGGACACAGATACCTGGTCACACAGCATCAGTGCACAGTTAAAAAATCTTAACAGTAGTGAGGTCTTCTGAAAGACTTGAAAATGGAAACTATTTACATTAAGAAAAAGTATAATTAGGTCAAATGGATAGTGGTTGTTGTCTGATTACACATTTTGTAAACAAGTTGTGGCTAATGCAGGAATTTCTACTGCTTGAGGAAACTTCATGTGAACCCTTCTATTCGGAAAGCTTGATCTGGATACCTAGAGACACTAAGCATAATGATTCTTTAGACTTAAGAGAGCTAATGCAATGGAAGCGTAGTTTTGCCAGCAGTCAGGTTCTGGGCCTGCTCTGTGCAAATGCTGAATTAGCATTCTGCCACTCTCTCAAAGGACATTGGTCAGTACAGAACTCTATCTATCATATGTCAGGAAAGAATCAGGAAAAGCTCATAGGAATAAGTCTTTATCATAAACTGATTAATAAGTCTCTTAATTTTAGTTCTGTGATTAACTGTTTTCTAAACCAACAAGAGTGTTCATAAAATTTCAAAGGCATGTATAGCTCTGACCTATAATATAATGTTGACTGCTTTTTCGAATACTATCACAGTCTGCTTCTGTAATGTGTTTATACTAGAAATAGAGGTTTGTCTCTAGCTTCCTTTACCAATATTTATTTAGATAGTCTTGCTGACAGATCTTTTCTGTGAGACTACCTCAGTCACAAGGTAGGAGGTAAACATCCATGTTTTCTCGTGTGTTTTGTTGATGGTGAGCTGCGTACTTTGCTTTGTCTGTGCGATAACTTGTTTGACCAACGAGGTAACAGGCAAAACGTTTAAAGTACACTGTAGTGCACAGATCTTTTCCTCTGTGAACAGGGAGTGAAGATCTATGTCAAAGAAGTGATCGTGGTCTTCATCTTTTTTTAATAAAACAGGGAGAATACAAAGTGAAACATAAAATACTCTCCATTTTAAATTTCAAAAACAAAAGAACGCCTTTTTGTCAGTGCGCTTCTTTGTAAATGCACTGCTGTATTTAGAAGAAAAAAGTACTTTACTGACATAGTTTATATAGCTGAGTTAAAACACTTTATTCTTGTACTATGGTTACTAATCACTTTAAAATTCCATGTTGCATTAATATAAAAGATTAAGATTTTCTAGAATAAAATATGGTATTTTTCTGTTGTAAAATTAGAAAATTAATTTATAAGCTGCATAGTCAAGTGGTGCATAGATGCATGGTATTTTTTTGGTACTATAAATGTTGTCCAGTTTAGTCTTGGCAAAGGCCCTAATTAGTTCATGAGAGAATAAAACTAAAACCATCTGGTTTTAAATAGGACTTTGTTGTTGAAGCATCGTATATTGAAATGAGTTTCTTCAAACTTACTGCCCAGCCTTCTCCCTTTTCTTTCCCTGAATGTTGTTTAAATTATTAAAGGTATGACAGTGCTTTTGAAGACTAGTACCTCATTACTGCTTTTCCCAATGGATTATTAAATTGTGCTGCTAGCCTGAAAAATGGTCCCAGCATTCCCTCATTTCTTGACCAAAGTAGGTTTTTGTTGTTTTTCTTTTTCTACAGATGGTGCAGGTAGGGGAAGGGTTTGGTTTAATGCCTGGGCTGTAGACCACTAGTTAAGAAAGCAGGGTGTCTTTCTGGAACATGTCATTCACCCCCTGAACTTTATAATTCTTGGATGAAGCTGAGGTGGTTTATAAGAATATCCATGTAAAGTGTGGGAAGACAGCAGTTCTTACAGAATCATAACTACTTTTTCTCTCTTTTTCAGTTAAAGGAATAAATGTAAGCAAGTATTTATGGATATTTATTATCACTTAAGAATTGTCAAGTACAAGAAATAAGGAGGTTTAGCAGCTATGTGTGTGGATTATCAAGCATGTATTTCTAGGTAGATGGTGTTGGTAAGCAATAGTTTTTACCAAAAATGTATGTGATTTTTGAATGACTTAGTTTAAATCGAAGTTAATACCTTTTTTATTTAAAAAACTATTGTAACTGGAGCAATCTATTGACTTTCTGGTTATAGGTGGGTTTTTTGTTATGGTTTAGTTTCTAGCTGTTGTGAGGAACTTCATATACTCAGCTATCTAACACATAGTATTTATTTGTTAGTAGGAAATTAGAATACTTAACACTACAGAAATGGCAAGTGAGTTGTCCATAAATATTGTGGCATTCTTAAAGAAAACCCAATATAATTCTGAGAATGTAAAGGGTAAAAATAATATATTAGAATATTACTTCACTTTCAACAGCTCAAATTCAAACAAGAAAATTCTCAAGTGTCAGCTAAAATGAATGCACTTCTAATTTTAAGAAAACAGCAGAGGAAAAATCATGTACTTTCTATTACCTGGGGAATGATCGTAATTTAAACAAGAATTTTTCTTAAAGACATCTTTTTTTTTTTTTTTTAAGTCATAAATTGAAACTATATTACAAATAGTTTTCTTTTGACTTGTGAAACAAAGTATGCTGTCTCTACTTGCTGGCTTTTAACTGACAATCAGAACGGATTTTTTGCCAGGATGAATTTTTAGCCTCTGTGCAGGTCATATTGGTAGAATACCTTGAAACTTTTAGATACATAGTTTAGTTCTGGTATCTTTTTGTAGGGGTAGGTCTGAAAAAAGATGGGACAAGAAACACGGTATTTTCTTGCGTATGTGGAAAGCCTTTAAATAAGTAAATTTGGAAAAGTGTAAAAAGAAAAAAAGGTGGCATAAGTGATAATAGGATCCCTGGCCCAATATTAAGATCCAGAGCTTCCATACAGAGAATAGAGTGTGTACAGTAGTGATCCTGCAGTTCTACTTACTGCATTGGAGTCATTAGAAATACATAGCAAAATTTGGAAGAAAGGTCTGATACATGCCTTTTTTTTCCATAAATTGTTTTTAAATTTAATTTTTTTTTAATTTTCAAACTACCACCTAGTAAATTTTATTTCAGGGTGGTACTCAAAATTAACTTCTACCATATTCTTTTTCATTTTAGAGGCACTGTAGCTACTTCTGTAGGAGAGACAAGGTGGTTTTAGTAGTGTTTCCCATAGAACTCTTGAAGCAGTGATTTTTACTTTTTTTATCACATGTAGTTTACTTTTTGCTGATATTCATCCCATCTTTAGGTACGTCAGTTGACAGAAACCATGGCTAATCTGAAGATTTCTTCTTTTGGATTGGCAGCTTCTGGTAAAGGTAGAGTTGAGACAAACACACGTTAGTCCATGGATGTTTACCTTTAACCTTGATATTTTTAATAAAGGAAAAAGAATATCAACAATATAGTAATTGATGTTTAGATACATTTTTCCTAAAGGAATTAATAAATTTTTAAAGCTATTTAATCAAAATCTGTTCACCTGCAAAGTAGCTTTTAAATTTGAGATTTTAAGTACTGTGTAAGTAACATCTGAAGAAAACTTTGATGGCACTCTAGAATATTTGGGAAGAGTTTAGCATCACTGTGTAACATAAAGAGTCTGGACTAAAGAAACTGCTCGTTCTTTAGGTAAGGTTATTTAATTCAGAGCTGTCCATCAGTGCATAAAATGACTCCTGTGTGCTGTAGGAAGAGCTTTTTGTTTCTGGCATTTAATTCCATTTTTTGCACTGGAAAATTGAGTATTGTGTAGAGTGGATGGGAATAACTGAAGTACTTGTGGAATGGTTTTAGTACATGAAAGCTTAGTCGTTTGACTGAAAGAGCTATTTTTAAGTGTTTGAGAATATTTCTGTAGTAAAATACTGAACTTCACATTAATATTACAAATTGAGAGAGTCAATGCTAAAGATGTTCTCTTCAGTCCTGTAGAAGAGTGCTGAGAGCCCGTGATTCTGGTAAATCATCTTCTGAACTTCGAGCAAACCAAAAAACAGGCTACACATATGAGAAAAGTTGTATTTGTCTATATTTGTCTATATGCTTTCTATGCCTTGTATAAAATAAATTTAGGAAAAAAATAGTTTAAACAGTGTAGTTCTCAGAATTGAGCTAATCATGCTCATTATTTGTGGGCATGCTAAAGAATTGCTTGAACATGGATGTTGGTCAGCTATAGTACAGAAAAATTGAAGTTTTGAAAGACAAAATGTCTTGCTCTATAACAGTAAAACAAAAATTATACTTAAATCCTTAAAATACATTGACTTTTTCATTAAAAACAGTTCAATGATAATGCTAATATATATTTTCTAAATAGGACAGTCTGCATGTCAAAAGGTCATTGTAATCAATAGTTTGTGGCATATTATTCATAAAGTAAAACTATCAATTCCACTCACATGAGCATGATTTGTTATTCTTATAAGATCAATCTTCATGGGATACATAAATACCCAGATTTCAAAGTACTTTTGGCTGACTTTGTCAGAGTTGCAGAAATATGAACCAACTCAACTCTTTAGTTAAAAAATAGTTTATTACCAGTCAGATTGATCACATCTCTCAGCTTCAGCTTAGTGAGAAAAAATCCTAGAGATCATGTGGCAATACCCAATAGATAGAAAGTTTTACAAACCCGGATCACATTGAGTCATTCCATATCTAATTCATGACTGTTCGTGTCAGTCAAGATGTATTGGGCAAAGCAACAAAGAAAAAAATGTATGTTCCTGATATCATTGTGTAAAAGATGGTTATAATGAACATCTACTTGCATACTTCGTGTCTTGTGGCATGAGTTTGGGATGAAGAGTTAGTCATTGAGAAATTTTGTGCATTGCTAGAATTTACTGCATAGTTTACTATTTACTGAATTAAAGGTGCTTACCTCCAGTTCCCGGTTTTTAAGTGATGCCTATGTGGAGGCAAGGCATTAGGTGCTCTTTGCCTAGTTAGACTTTATTACGTGCTACACATGTTCTGTGTTAGTACTGGTAGTCAGCCATCGTTTAACCCCAGCCAGCAACTGAGCCCAGCCAGCTGCTCACTCTACCACCAGCACGACTGGGGAGAGGATTGGAAGGATAGGAATTGGAAAACTTGTGGGTTGAGATACAGCCACATGTACAGTCAAAAGAAAATGCAAGAAGCTAATTCACTGCTTCCCAGCCTGGGCAGACAGGTGTTCAGCCATCTCCAGGAAACCAGGGGTCCAGCACAGGTAATGGAGACAAAGGCCAAATTCTCAACATCCCTCCTGTTTCCTTGTCCCTCCCCCAGCATTTACAGGTAAGCATGATGCCATGTGGTATGGGATACCAGGTTGTGTCTTGCTTCCAGCTCCTTGTGCATCCAGCCTTCCTGCTAGTGGAGTGGTGTAAGAGGCAGAAGAGGCCTTGGGTTGTATAAACACTGCTCAGCAATAAATAAAAAAACAAACTGTGTTTTCAGACATGTCTTCAACAAATCCAAACCACAGCCCTACACTAGGCACTGTGAATTAAATTAGCTTTACCCCAGCCAAAACGTCATACATAGTCATACATAATGGAAAAGGATTTCTGCCCCACAAGATTGTTTCAAATGCTTTAAGGTTCATTCAGTATCTGTGTGATTAATGTTTATACAGTTTGTCCAGATGTGCATTTTGGTACAGATCCATGAAATCATGAAGTGCTCAAAATCCATATTCAGTTTTAAAATCCTTGATTTCATACAAGGTTTTCTAAATGTGAAGACTGCATTTTTATCAGTACTTAGCTATTTAGTTTATTTGTTTTCCTAACAGCTGAATGTAGCAATTGTGAAAAAATATGGAAACTGCTGAGAAGAGGCTTAATGGTCATATTGGCAAAATCATTGAATGAATGTATGTATGGAATCCTTAGTCTGTTTATAAGTGTTTTTTAAAATTCCTGTTTTCAACACAGAACCAAGAGTCTGCTCTTCAGGAGACAGGCTTTGAAACAGCACCTTTTTACTTTCTAGTTTAAAATACCTGAAGTTATGCCAAAAGTCATGGAATATCACAGGAGATATTTTTTCGTGGAGAAAGAGTTGAGTGGTTGGAACCTTCTACTTGGGCATCAGTACATCACATTTGTGTCTTGTTTTGCCTTGCTTGGGATTTGAGCAGATGGTGTAGTTTCATTGTTTTCAGATTAGATTAGATTAGAATACCCTGAACTACTTTATTAGTTTACTCTACTATAGAAGTAAGTAGAGTGCAGAACACCTTGGTATGTTCAGTGTCAATCTAATATCCATACCAAACATAAATATAGACAAGACAAATATCCTGAAAAATGTAACTCATAAAAGGAAAAATCTGATTTTTCCAAAAGTATTTCTAACGGAATTAATGTGTTTGAAATGTCTAAACTATGTAGGTTTATTTGTGGCAGGATAACTACATTTTTTGTTTAAAATAACATTACACAGTGACCTTGCTATCCTGTTCCTGTCCATTCAAAGACTTAAATGATTCAGGGAAGAAGGCTAGTGCATTATAGAGAAATCCTGAACAAACTGATAGTCTTTCAGTTAAAGTATGAAAACAGTTTTAAAAAAGGTTCTGGTTCTACCTAAGAACCTGCTGTCTTACTGAAGGTGTTTCAAAGGTACACTGTCCTATCCAGCAACTGAGAGGAATTCTTGTGTTTGTCACGGTCTGTGCCACTGATGTGTTTTTACAATTCTGAAAGTGCTATAACTTCCATTATGTTAACATTCACATTATTTCACTTATCTTGAAATGTAAATGCACAGAAAAAAGTCAGGGATGTAATTTTTACCTGTTGTGTTTCAATATTTGAGACAATTCAAGGCAACTGAATGCATTTACTCTGAACTCAAAATGGCATGTAATTTAATCTGAGATTTTATTTATCTTTTAAAGCCACTTCTTTTCTGTCTATTTCCTATTTTTTTCCCTTTATTTTTTAAGATAGTTGTCAGGCTACTAGATTGAGAATTACATTTTCAAGGTACTCCAGCAAAATTAATATGAAACTAGATTTCCCAGTTTAAAAATGTTGGGGTTTTTTTTATTATTATTTCTGATGATGAAATAAGTGGAAGTGGAAGAACCTGTAATGATCCAATCTGATATTCAGTTGAGAAATTGAGACATTTTTTGCAGTAGAAAATGTATTTTTAGTAGAACTATTTCAAATAGCATAAGTTAAGCTTGTACTCTTGATCTGCTATCTTGATTAAAGGCTCTGTTAAAGATGTGGTTTTGAAAGGAGGAAGAACAGGTCCATAGTTAAAGCATGAGTGGGCATCTGGATATTCTGGACTCTGGTAATAAAAAAGAAGACGAAAACAGGAGGAAGAGACAAAGATCAATTAAAGATCTTCTAAGCAAGTTGCAAGAATTGAGTAAGAGAGGGACAGAAGTGAGTGTCATGAAAGCAAAATAGGGAAATACTGAAAGTGATGTACAAGTTTAAAAATGAGGACAAGATTCTAAAGTTTCTAAGCATTTCTAAAGTGTGTGAAAAGACTGACGTTTAGAAGAGGAGTTGGGGAAGTTTAGAAGAGGAGGGCAGTCACACAAATAGAAGATGGTCTCAGTCACATCTAACCAGATGTGAAAATATTTTTACTGAAATGTAAAAAGTTCTTCTGACTGCATGTGTAAAACTTTATGGAAATTAAACTATTTTTTAATAGTTCTAAAAATAATTCTTCCTAAGCGAAGAATTTACTTCCAGGCTAATAGCATTCTTTAGAAAAGCTCATTCCATAAAGTCTGTAACATTGTATAACTCCCCTCCAGGATCTGGACGCAGAAGAACAGAAATCATCTAACAGTCTGAATTGCTTATTTGTCACTGAGCAAGTAAGTTCTACTGAAGAAGATGAGCCTCCAAATGTAAGAAAGAAGACTAAAATGGACACAAAACCACGAAACAGTCTAACAGCCAAAGAATCCATTTCTACAGATGGTATAAATTCACATTTGTACAAAAGTACACCAGATGCTGCAGCATGTACAGATGACAGTCGAACAGCAGACACAGAGAGTGAACCAGAAGAAGGTGAAATTACAGATTCTGAGTGTGAAACCTACAGTGAGGAAGAATTAACAAGTGAAGAAACTGGTGATTCAGAATACTCAGAAAATGAAGGTGAATTATTGTGGATTATATATGATCTTACTATAGTTTTCCAGGAGCCAGTTAAAAAAAACAGTTTGGATAATTTAAAAAAATATATAAAAGCATGTGACTTGAGGTACTTTGAGAAAGTGCTATATGTTGCCAACATTTCTTTCCCTTTCTTGCACAAAAGTAAGTAGTAGTGGTTTTATAAAAAGCTCTTACTGAGTATAACATCTGTGCTTGTGTAGAAACTTCAGGGACCGCAAAAATTTGGTTTGATTAGGAAAGTGAAAGGAGGAAAGAAAGTGCTGCTGAAATAGGGGTTCTAGCATAGTAATTCACAGTAATTCTGTGTATTATCTTAAATTAATATACAGTATTTTTTATACTGTTTATAAACCATTGTGTACTATTGAATGGAAGGTGCATCTACTGTGGTGAAAAGCAAGATGGAGTAGACAGTACTAGTTGAAATACTATTTTTGTATATTCCAGTGGCAACTTGTAAGAAATTGATACAGACAGGAAACCTGTATACTGTTTTAAACCAAAGAGTTCTGCTAGGTCCTCAAAAAACAAAAAACTGAAGATAACCTATGAAAAGCTTGATACAGCCAATCAGAACTGTGTATGTGCAAAGGATGTGTATGTCCAAATCACAGAATGAAATACCACTATAGAAAACTGTATTGTAGCTGTGTCCTGCTCACAGTTTATTACCAGTTTGTTTCTTACATTTTCATTACTTAACTACTTAGATTCTAGGTGATTAATGCTAAACAAAAAGTGCTTGCTACCATCAGGCTTTCAGACTAAATTGTCTTTTCTTAATATCCAATTTTGCAGTAATGCTGAAGTAATAAAAACTGGGGACAGTTTCTCTTCCCCTAGTACTTTTTAAGGTACTGTCTTCTCATCTATGTCTGCACCTAGTTGAGGTCATTGGAGATGGTTTCTACAAATGTACACCCAGGTACAGAATTCATACAGCTGTCATAACATAGTATCTTATGATAATCAGGCAAAAAAGCATATACAGCTGTAGGTTCTGTCTATTATTTTTCCTTATTCATGTTGATGAAGAGAGAAAAAGCACTGAAAGTATATTTGACATAGAAATTGTCAGATTGGAAGTTCTATATGTGGTAGGTCTGTGATGTGGTGAACAAAAATATGCTGCCTTTTCTCAGAGTAAAATTGTTTTCTAATCTGTTACAATTAATGATCCATAAATTTATAATATATTAATAATTTTTGTGAATGTATATATATTTTACTGCTGTAAGAAATACAAACATATAAACCAGAATTAGGAAAACATTTTTAATACTTAGTGAGCTATCAGAAAGCCTTTGAAACAATAATCTCATCAAAGTTTTCTCTCAGATGTTGTTACACATTTTCTTGTTATGAAAGTTGTATATTATTCAGCCAGGTAATGGCTGAATTTTTTTCTGTTTTTTGAAAACTATGGACTATAAGGTTAAAACTGTAATGTTTTGGTAGTAATGGTGTTTTGTTTTTTTTCTATATAATTATAGATGAAGAAAAGATCTGGCCTCCTTGTATCAGAGTAATTGTAATAAGATCACCAGTTCTACAGACTGGGTCACTTTATATTATCACTGCTGTGAAACCTGCTACAATTGGAAGGTAAAAATGAGTGAATTTTTTTATATATATATGTATATATATATCTGCAACTACCTCTTTGAAGGCTGTGGAAAGCACTTAGGATGGCTTATCTCTACTCTTCATGCTTGTCTTCCTAGCCTGCAGCAGTTGTGAGGTAGTCTGAGTTTGGTTAGTTTCTTACTCAGTAAGAAATTCAAGTCAGGTCACATAACAACATGTTGTCATGATAATGTCACAGCATACACAGTTAATGCAGCTCATCAGACCTGAAAATTTGTTAGTGATAACTTGACGTTGTGACTGTGCCCCAGTGGCAGCATAGCTGCAAGCTCTCCTTTGAAAACTTGTTTCCTAGAAATTAAGTCAATTTGCCCCAGGCCACTGAAGTACTATTTTTTCAGAAATGGAAGAACGCCCCTCAGAAATTCAGGACCTCTAGGAAGCATATCCTAGACTTCCTCACACACTGAAATTTCAGTAGGCTCTGTTCATTTGCTTTCAATAATAAGCTGGTTTGTGCTCGACTGTATGCATTCTTACTGTTCTAAATCTGGCTTGTTGTGGATGATGAATTTAATTATGATGTAAAGCTTTCTTCCATGCTTACTGAAAACTTCACCCTGGAAAAGCTGTTTCTATCTAATAGATAGATGTGTTTTGATTTGCTCTTAAAGGCTGAGTCCACGCATATATGAAGATCAACTGACAGCTGTGCTTTGAATTTGCATATAGGTCTTATACTAACTGCATTGCTTTTTAGTATAAGAATCTAATACACAAATCCTTTCTTCCCTCTGCATTGTTTTGATAACAAAAAATGCAAGGGACATTTGGAAGCAAGTCTTTACATTGTGTATACAGCAACACAATATTTTGTATCTGAAAAAATTCCTAATAGTTTAGAAAAGAAATATGGTATTACAGTTCAACTGAAATATATCTTTCATAAGCCACTTGTAAGACCTATTTCTACTTTGTTGTGATTTGTATATCAAATTGCCTTTCCAGAGAAAAAGATGTTGGACACACACTTCAGATTCCTGAAGTTGGAGTCAGTAAGGTAACTCTTGTTCATGTCTGCTGAAAGGTAGATCAGAAGACATAAATGTATGAATGAAGCTTTAGATTTCATGGTTTTAAAGCTGGAACATTGTATTAATTTTTTGAAAGAACTTTCGCAATGAGATAGGGGTTTAGCCAGACTAGAAATTAGAGAAAAGGAAAACATACACTATTTTACTTAATGGGAAATTAAACACAAACAACAGTGTGTTTTCAAAATCTTTAGGTCTTTAATTTCATAGTTATTGAGCTTGAGGAAAAACCCTGTTAAGTACTAATGGTATATAATTTTTTCATGTCAGATAGTAAGAATTTCTTTACCAAGTAATGCAATCCTTGCAATTTTGCTCAGAGCAAAAGGATTTTTTTTTTTTTTTCAAATAACTGTGGAAATTATGTACAGGAAGTTTGAAAAATTAACATAATTCCTTTCAATGATAGATTGAATGGAAATTCCTGTTATAAATTCTGTGCTCTGTTTTACTAAATACTTCAACACAGACCCTCAATACAGCACTCCTAATAGAAGAAAATTGTACATTAACAAAGTTGTGTCATCCAAACAAAAAACTGGTTAAAAAAAATCAGTAAATGCAAGTATCTCATGAAACGCACTTTACTATGTCTATTTTAAACAATAGTTCTCATTAATCAGCCATTATATTTCATAGTGAATAATTTCCAGAGTAAATATTTCCCTGCTATTAATAAGTTTTTCAGGCATGTGTTTGAAACTGGGCAAATAAGCCAAAAGGCTTTTATTTTTCTGTAACGTTACCTTTTTAGTACTTCACTGGTACTGACAGTTTATATAAGAAGTTACTTCACTTTTCAGATAAGGAGTCAAAGGTGAAAAAATAAATTACAGATCTGCAGAAATGAAAAATAGTGTTTTCCTCACTATTTTTACTTCTTAGCTGTGGTCAACTTTGGTGTTTGCTTTTCTTGAGTGGAAAGTGAGATTTTAAAAAATGCTACACCCTTCAGATTTAGCCTCTTTAGAAGACATTTAAGTTATATTCTGTAAAGCAGAAGCAGGAAATAAAGCATCTATTGAATGAACCAGTTGGTCTCCATCATTATGGGAACATTCTCATAGTAAGAAATGCAAGCCAATCTTCAATTATTTTTTTTTTAATACTAAAACCAGCAACTACAATTGCTCTAAATTGTCACATTCTCTAGACTTACTGCTTGTACTGGAAGTTCTAGTAGGTTGGAGAAGTTGGTACTTTGGTTTGTACAGTGTCCTTTTTTTGGGGTAGTGTGTATCTTTATGAATTTGGCCAGGAGTTGTGCTTTTTCTGGTCTGTGTGGGCTTTGGAGCAATACCACCTATACAGAACTGTAACAAAGACAAGAAATCCTCATTTATTAGTCTCAATATCAGAACAGAGATAAAAGAAACAGCAAAAGATTGGTACTGATTGTGTCCTAAGGATGCAGGAGAAGGTGAATTGTGTGAAAAGCATGGCATTTAGGGAGTCATTTCAGATATGAAAGACCAAGTGAATGGCAGCAGAATGAGATCTTTTTTTTAAATGAGAGTGCTATGAAACACCTTACAAGCAAAAAGCCTGTTATTTAGAAGAAGAGTTAAGAAGGCTGTATTACTGAATCTTGCAGTTCTTTAAGTAAAGCATACTCGCCACATTGGAAGAATATAGTTGTCCAGTACTGAATCAGCTTATGAGCAGAATAGTTACATGATTAACTATATATGTCAGCTCATGCTGTTGTGGCACATTCATTTACATTTCACAAGAATGAAATCATAAGATGTGAAATACTTCATTAAACTTAGAATACCAGAGCCTCTCATTTTAAAGGTCTCAAAGTATATTCTGAAATCTTACCTTTAAACAACATATAAGTTGTGAAGTATTCACTTAACAAGAATATTTAACTCAGGCTTCTGTTTGTCAGTTTCATGCAGAAGTATATTTTGACCACGATTTGCAAAATTATGTTCTTGTGGATCAAGGCAGTCAGAATGGAACAGTTGTTAATGGAAATCAGATTCTCCAGGTGAGTACCTATTGTTTTAGTGGTTTATAATTACAGAAAACTAATCTTGTTATAATTTTGAATGTTTTACGACAAATCACTTAGAATGGCACTGTATGTCTTCTTTCATACATTAATGCCTGCCTTGATTCCCTTCTGATTTTAAGATCACTTGGAGAACTTAATGTTTGTTTATACTAGGAAAAATCCACTATGGTTGCAGTTAGCTAGAGTGAAATACCCACTGTAGTTAAACAGTTGCCTACATTTGTGAAACCAAACTGAACTTACGAGTTGCCGTCATTGTGCATGAAATAGAGTTCGTGTCCTTCATGAGCAGTTAACTTGGCTGCCAAAACTTTCTTTTACTGTAGCCTAAAACAAAGTGTGATCCCTACATCCTGGAGCATGGAGATGAGGTGAAGATTGGCGAAACTGTGCTTTCTTTTCATATTCACCCCGGCAGTGATACTTGTGATGGATGTGAACCAGGACAAGTTAGAGCACATCTTCGCCTGGACAAGAAAAAAGAGTCTTCTGGTTAGTCATATAATCACAGGATGCATTTTTTCTTATGGCTGTTTACTTTGAAAACATAATAATGAGTTTAGTTTTCATAAAATTTTCTTGTCTACTGGGAATAGTTGTCAATAATGATATATTTTCTTCTTGGTATATGTGTCTGTGTACAATAATGGCAGAACAAAAATTCTCTCATTTGTCTTCCGATTCAAAACATTGTTACATTAGTAATTACAAATCCAATCCTGTGTTCCTCCCTTTAGTTTGTCCAGCACTTAGCAAAGAAGAGAGAGAGTTGGTCAGAAGAAAAGCATTAAAACAAATACGGGTAAAATATGGTTTACAGGTGAGTTTGCAGTAGAAGTTGATTAAGTTTTTGTAATCTTGTGGTTCTTACCTTTTTTTGTGCTTTTTGATTCCTGTTTTAAGCCAAGGACTTAGTTGAATAAGGGAAGTTTTCTAATGCCCTTTAGCTTAGCCTGGTTTTTCTTTTGTACCCTAAATTCTTATTCTTTACAAACTTCTACAAAGAAAGATGATGGTAACAGGGCATGAAAGTTCCATTGAAAATTAGAAGGAAGATCCTTTCAAAGTGTACAAGATTCCTAATCCTTTTGATGTTAAGATTTTGCAAGATACTTATATTTGTATTTCTGGAGATTAAGTTTTCACTGAATTGCAATCCTAGATTTCATTCGGAAAGGAACATAATGAGCAACTGAAAAAAACATGGAAGGAAATGGGAATTTTTTTTGGTTTTTAAGTCCATAGAAGAATACCAACCTGAACATACAGACAATATAATATATATGTATTCAAATTACTTGTGTTGTAGAGATAATTTTAACTATGCAGTTGCTTCCAGCATTTGTACTAATTATTCATGTAGAAAACAGAATGCCATCATTTCTATCAGATTCTTCTGGTACCAAAATAATATTGATACAGAATCTGTAAACATACTTAATTCTGTAATTTATTCTGAAAAAAAATAGTTGCTGAGGAACAGGCTAAATGTTTATATAAAAAGCCAGTGGCATGTCTACATGGTTTTCTCCTTAATATGGAGAGATGTACCTTCTCTTGGTATGAAGACTGAAAGAAAATCTGTTACTTTATTTTCAGCTTCTGAGAATTTACTGAATTTGGCAATATTATGTGATGTTTGCAATAATGTGGTTTACAAGGTATGTCTGTAAGCTAAGAAAAAGTGAGGACTGCAGGTTTTGTTACAAGATTTAGAATTAATAAAAAAGACTGAAGCTGGCATACTTTTGGAGAGAAAAAGGGAAGTTAACATAAACAAAGAATTTAAACCCTGTTCTCTTTGTCTTAATGCAATTTAATCTTCTTGGAAAGAACACAGAATATGAAGACAACAAGGCAGTGAAAAATCCAAAGTACAAAGACAGAGCAGGAAAACGCAGAGAGACCGTTGGAAGTGAAGGGACCTTCCAGAGAGATGATAGTTCAGCTTCTGTTCATATGTAAGTTGGGAGTGGGGGCAAGTATTCCATGTCCTTCTCTTGTGAATCTTAAAAAAATGATAAAATAGGTATCAATTTGTTACTAGCATGCAGTTTATTAGATTACAAATTACCTGTATATATTTTGTTAGGAGACCTAGAAAATTTTAAGCTTTTCACAGTCCCCATTTAATGTGGTTTTATTTATTAACTCTTCACCTTCCATATAAAATGTACTTTATATATTTTATGTATATATATGTTTATATTCCATATATTTTTATATGGAAGATGAGGAATTAAGGGTGGTAGTAAGGAAGCTTACATCACTTCCTTACCAACTCAAAATTGTAAAGAACTCCCCAGCTGCACAACTGACATCTCTGTTTTTCAAGTGGCTCAATTGTTATTTTTCCTATTCAATCACACTAATAGTACACATGCAGATTTCTCACCTGCAGCTTCTCTCACTGTCAATATCCAGCCGCTCATAGGACATGTGTTTACATACCTCTCTAATGACACTTGATGTTCCTTCAGTTGTTACTTTGCCTCTGTAGCTGTAGTTGGGGAATTTTTTTTTAAGAATCGTGAACTTGTAGGTGCTAATAAAAGTGTGCAATGATTTAGTAGGTGCAGTAGGATTAATTGGGAGCAATACTAGCTTTTCCATTTTGTAATCCATACCCTTCTCCCCGTGATGTATCTTTTAACTCCTAAAGCATGCAAGTAGTTCAGGAGTTTTGAGAAAGCTGATATTGACCAGGAGCCTGTTAACCAAAGCTATTCTTGGAGGAACTTGTGAAAGGTAGCAAAGATCTTATGGATAGCTCTTAATGGACTAATTCCTGGTTTCTGTATGTATGCACATTTCTGTTGTTCAGTATTTGAAAGCATACTCTTAATATTAACTCTTGCTTATCAGTTATCTTAAACTTTCTTCAAAGTGAAATCAGCAACAGCAACAAAGGACATAAAATGTTGGAGAAGATGGGATGGAAGAAGGGGGAAGGTCTGGGAAAGGATGGTGGTGGCATGAAGGATCCGGTAGGTGTTTCAAATTTTCATTTGAACCAAAAATAATAGAAATGTATTTGTAGTGAAAAGTATGTAATTGTATGCCACTATTCACTTGAAATTCATCAAAACTCTGATTTGGGAGGAATAATCTCAGTAGGACTAATCTCAAATTATTTTTTTCTTTGATTAATGAGTTATTTTGAAATTTCTCAGTAGTGTTGTCCCTTCACTACACTGTATTCATTAGAAAACTAAGCAAAGGAGGACAGACAGCTTCTAGCCATTGAATTAATAATCTCATATTTGAATTCTAGAGGAAATTTGAATCATTTAAGTGACATGAATTGAAGATCAGTTTAGGGTGCAATTCTTTCTCAGAGAGTGCTGTAGCACAGAAAGCTAGATGATGGGCACTGAGAGGGGAAAAGCTGGAAGTCACTGTAGCCAGCAAGTTGTGGGCCTCTGTGGCAGCCACATTAGCCCCATTTTTGTCACCAGAGATGTGTTGTCTTTTGGCAGTAGTGCTGCTCAGAGCCACACCATGCCCTGTTTTGTCAAACAAGCCAGCATAGGGATCGTAAGCTTCTCACTTGGTGAGGTATATCTCACAATAATGTTAGTGGCAAGGGACATCATTCAGGACTCTAGATCATAGTTCCAGAGGTGGTGATGTGACACATCATTTTCCTGGTACTGTTCATGTATTATCTAGGCATTTTGGAACATGAAAGGGAAGTGCTGGGCGAGAGAGGGGTGGAATGTGTATTAGAAAAACAGAAGTTGTAGTATTTAGAATACCTAACTTGCAATTATAATAATATTTCATGTATTTGACAGATCCAACTGGAGTTACATCAGAAGCATGCCGGTTTAGGAACCAGGAGACCAACCTCAATTGAAGATGTTCAGCTTGTCCAGAGCAAGAATAAAAAGAACTGGGATAAAGCAAGAGAGAGATTTGCTGAAAACTTCCAAGACCCTAAACCACAAAGGGATACACCTAAGAGTACACCTTGGGTTAGAGGGACTGTAGACTGAAGTATCTAGTCACACAGCAAGGTAATTCCGAGTATAAATAGTTGGGAGAGAATTTATTTTTTATTCTTTTTGCTTTTGCTAAAGCAGGAGTTTGGGTATATGTAAAATACAGTTGTGGATTCAAGATTAACTCTGTTATGTTAATTTGTTTTCTGTAGTCTTCATGCTTTTATACACATTTTTAATAAGATATGAATGGAGTTTAGAGGGATATTCAAATTTAAGTACTTGAAAATTACTTTCATCACAAGCAGGAATCTTCTGTTGGTTTTTTTACACCTCACAGAAAGTTATGCAAAACATCTGTAACACTTAAATATGATACCTTTAATATCTGAACAGTGGTTTAAAATCAAGATGAAAAAATGAATCCCCTAGATTCCTAGTAAAAATGTACCATATTGCTGTTTCTTCATGTTTGCCATGAAGTGCTCAACAAGAGACACACCACAAATTCATACAGTTCAGTATTAGCTACAGGTTTTAGCATATATTTGGCAAAGGAAAAGGGGGTAAATGCTTGTTTTTAAATGATTCATCATTACTGTTCAAAAACACCATTGTCCATGAAATAAACTACCAGCATTAGTGAAGAAAACAATGTTCAGAGACAGCTTGTAGCAAAATTTTCTTCTGTGAAGAACTTGTGTGAGATTTGTTTAGTAAATCTGTATCATGCCTTTAAAAAGGTAGGTATGTTTAGAAAACTGCTGTCTGTTTGTATTTATTAAATTCTTTTTCTGATACATCCATTGCTGGCAATGGAGTTTATGCCAGAAAAAAAAACAAACAACACAAACAACTGATTTTTGATGGGGAAGGATTTCCAAACTGAAACTAAAAGATTGGTATTTATTGAATGTTCCTAAACACAATAAATCATTGTCAATTTAAGCAGTGTGCTTCTTCATACTGTCTTGTCCATATGTTGAAGTCTTCCTCTAAAATTGAGTAAAACTTAATCCCACTTTGTTCAAGTTAAAGTTCTGGTACTTGTGCAAGAAAACACGGTAGTCTCACCACCCTACCACATCATGCCAGGCAAATTTGAAGCACTGTGGAGTAAAACCAGAACAAGTTACCAGGCATTTGTCTTAATCGAGACACACACAGTATAAAGCAAAAGGTTTGAGCTATTATTTAAACATGCCCATGCTTACAACCTGAAGCACACCTTACTTCTGCAGACAGAGGTGAAAATAGATTATCCGCACTCAATATGTGGAGCAGCTTAACTAAAATGAGGTCACTATTTGCCATTGTAAGCAGTTAGTTTTCTACTGACTTAGTGGTAGACATGTATTATTGCTTTTACAATAATATACAAGTATTGCTGTATTACGTACTTTGCTGTTGCATTCCTTTTCATTGGCAACTTCACGTTTTCAGTGGCTTTTTCTAGCTCTGAAAATACATTGTTCTGTAAGTTCTGTTCTGTACTTGTTAAGTTTTAGTTCACCATTTATCTAAAAAGCTGCTCCTGCTAGTAGGAGAAAAAAAATGCTGTATTCTATAATACTTTTTTTGTTTCTTTTTCTTTTTACATCTTTGTAGTCTTCAGAGTAAATCAAACTATAAATCTTTATTTGATTTACTTTGATGTACTAATTGTAACTTTCCCTGTCCCCAGTTATTCAAGTGTAACAGCTCTAAGAACAGTGAATCAACAAGTTTGCATTTCATGAAGTTTTTGAAGTAAGACATCATTTGCCTTCTGTGAGAGGCATGGTGTCACGCAGTCAAGACTGACTGCTTTCAGTACTGCAGCTTCCTCTTTCAGCAGTTCCATATAAAAGGCTGAAGCTTAGTCTTGGTTCAGTGTTGGTGTGACAAATTCTATTCTCTTGATGCTGCCTAGGGAAGTGGAAATACACAGATTGTTAACAAAACAACTGGAAGTAAGTTTGAGTAATCTTCATCAAGCAGTTGTGTGCCTTAATTATTGGGTAGGAAGACTTGTATTGGCTAAATATGACTTTTCATCCTTTACCTTAGTGACCTCCTAAAAAATTTTAAGTACAAATGAGTCAGGTGAAAATCACCAATTTTGTGCAAGCCTTATGTGCAAATGCAGTACTGCTTTCCCTCATGTCAGAAGGGGAACATGAGTTGCTATTGCACTCTTATAATTTTGGAGGCTATAACCAGTAAGATGCAGCATAAAATTTAACTGTCTTACCTTCTCAGTCCTCCAACCATCCTGTTGCCTTTCCCACCTTATGATACTTAGAGTTGCTTTTTTATACAGCCAAAGTTTTAGCTGTTTGCTTTATATATAAATACTGCTAGTGATACATATAATCCTAAAGGTCTTAAGGATAAAATTAATCCGTTTATATAAATAATTTTCTATAGTCCTCGCAGTGGGTTTTGCCAATTTAGCTAACATATTTCTGAAATTTAAACTAAAGACTAGTAGGTACATTCTTATCTCAAGATCTGAACAATACAGCTGGCACATAAAAACACGGAGTGCAATCAGTATTGTGTGCAAGGCCCTGAACTATCTGCATACGAACTGCTTTTACAAAACATATCGTAGGATGAAACTGGAGTGTTTGTTTGAGCAAAGCTGCTGCAGCTGGTTGTGTTTAGTGAAAGACTGATGCTTTCTGCCAGCAGATAACTAATCCACAGCAGCAGGAAGAGATAAAAACCAGCATCTTGGTTTCCAAAAGGATCTACTGAAAGGTGCATTACAATGGAATTTTTTCCCGTGTGACCTTTTTCCAAGAGCTGCGACCTCTTAACGTGAGATTTATTTTTTTTTTTTTCTCAGCGAGTTTATGATTTCTAAACGGGTTTCATCTGGACCTTATTTTAATCCAGCAATGCCTCTCTGTTGATGAACATACCTGCGTACGGGTTTACAGTAGCAGTGATCCTTATTCAACACACCAGGGCACCATCCCCTCTCCTCCGTCCGCACCCCAGTGTCCCGGTGTCATTTCAGCGCTGCAAACAGGACACATGCTGCCTCTCCTGCCGCTCCTCGTTTAATAGGGCGGGGGAAGACACGGGGGTGGCGGCCTGTGTTCCTGCGCTGTGCCGGGAGGCC